TAGTATTATGAGCAAGATGTGTAAATAATCTGTGGCAAGCAGTGACTTTGTTACAGAAAGGGACACCATCCCAACTTTTCCTTTCTTTGATGAAATTTTCAAGAGAGATTTCTACAAACGATGTGCCAGAGGGGAATTTGCAAGGTTTGCATTGACCTACATAAACCCTAGTTGAACATAAAAGCAGATTAAAAGTTGTTTCACTCTGCTTCTGTCACCCTTTGTACTTTATCAACCACTGATCTTTATTCTTTGTTAATTCACATATGTTTAATGCAGCATTGCAAATAATTTTCCTCACATCCTAAAGTATTCATAAAAATAAGGCTGGGTGAGAATATTTGAAAGAGCATTGTTTGTGATTTTCTTGCCTCTGCACAGCTGTGTGTCTAGAAACTGGAAACATAGGCTTCTCTGTGCTGCAGAGGAATGGAAATAAATTATAATGCAAGCTCTTTCAAAAAAAAATTATATATCCTGGAGTATCTCAGATCAGGAAAACATTTTGTTGCACAGCTTGAGTTTTATTTCAAAATATTGACTCTATACAGATACTCGCTTTTGTATCTTAACTAGTTATTTTACTGAATGTGTCTGATTTGGATGAAAAGTTGTGGTTGATTCATGCCATGATCGATGGAGGGGAAGCAGGGAAAGGACAGTTTGAAGCAAAGGAAACAGTAAACCTTGTGGAGGAAGAAGACCAAGATTGCCACATAATCCTATGATTAATTATTCTCAAGAATATGTTTTTGCAGAAGCAGGATGAAAGGCAAAGTAATACCTTTGAAATAATTTTGGAAGCCCAGCATCAAATCAATTGTGCAACTAAATTATCATCACATTATAATCATTCAGACACTCTTTCTTAAAAGCAGTTTTAATATTAAATATTTTATGGGGGTTGGTGTTCATACTAATTCTGTGAAATAGGGAAATACTAAGCCAAAGTTTCCATAGATTGTGAAACAGAGAAGTTCTTCCAGATTGTGGAGCAGGAACAACACTGGAAATAAAAAGCCAGTCAAATTTCAACATGTTGATACAACTTAGAAGTGAAAAACTGCCCTGTGAGTCAGCAGCTAAGAACTTTCTAGAACTGGTTAGCCACTTGCTGCCTACTTTTCTGGTGTTGATGTTGGATGAAAGGTAGCTAATGCTGCCTTTATTTATGGTGTTTGCTGCAATTGCTGCAGTGTTTGCAGTCATGGAACGTAGTGGAGATGAAAATGAGGGACAAACTGAGTTATAAAACAGATCAGGACAGCAACAGTTCTGTTCCGTATTCTTCCATTCCTAACAGTTCTTCTGGACCTTATTTTCTTTGGTAATGTTATCTCCTGGCTTAATTCCCACATCCTTCCATATTTTATATCCTCCTCCATTAAAAGTGTAATATACAAAGTAAAAGCTTGTGTCAGGCTATCTGAAAGTGCTCTGCAATTGTTCCTTGTAGTAGAAGTGTTATCAGAGTCTATGAGCCTCAGGCTGCAGGTGTATAATTGCATTTTAGAAATAGGGCAGGCTCTTTTGTCTCATTATGAAGGATCTGGAAGGCCTGTCTCACAACAGTCCCTTTTCATCTCTCCATCTAAGCCTCTTCCCAAAACTTCTTGTCCAAAGGAACACATGGACACCCTGCAAGTCCTCCCTGAAGAGTCAGCCTTCCCCAGCCTACCCAACAAAGCATGTGGTCTCCAAGTTGAATGGATTGCTTTACTTGCACAGATGGAAACAAATAATGCTTCCCATGATATCTTAAAATTGATACAATTTTCTGAGCTTTTAAGGAACTTTACGCACTGAAATGACTGCACAAATGTTTCTCAGATATTCACAGTCTTAAGGTTTTATCATCTGGTCAAGGCAAAACTCCCTTCACATTAACAACTGCAGACACTGGGTCCCTCGTAGGACAATTTTGGGGCCAGAACTGATGTCTTGCATCAAAATATTCTGATTTATGTACCACTATTGGAGAGTAGTAGACAGCAGTCAAGTTATTTAATGATTTCAGAGTTTTAAAAGCAAGCGAAGATATTGGTGTCAGATTCTTTTAAATCTTGCCTTACTACAACAGTCTGAAACATTTCCAGTGCTAATGATTACAGAGGAATATCCACTTTAAACATGGGTTTAAAAAAAAAAGCTTTTAATACAAGCTTTACCTCTGTCATCACATCTGTCTGCCTTTTGCCATTAGTAGGCAGTGTATTTATCTTTGAAGTCCTGTGTTTGTAAAAGTGCCAGTCATGCTCTATTAGTCCTCTCTAATCTCCATGTGTGCACTTAGCTGAGAGTGTAACACAATATTTGTTCTTTAATTTTAAATTTGTCGTTTCTAATGAGTTCCAGGGTCTTAGTCTGTTTTTACCCTAAACACCTTGGGCTGTGTCACTGAAACTGTATCTGGTGGCATAATCTATTAGGCTTATTTGAGTTTCCTTAACCTATATGCTTATTTAAGATAGGGGGGGAAAGGGCAGCAGTGGAAGACTGTTATTCACTAACTCCAAAAGGTTAGTGAATTCTCTGAATTTTGATATCTGAAATAAAATTAAACCTTTATTAGTATTTCTAAAGTAACTTAGTGTTAAAAGGGACTTTTTGGAAACAATCTCGTAATTATAGTAAAGCCTGTGGTAAGCTGGACACTCCAGTTCTGGTCTTAACCACATCCCACCATGTGGTCTGATTTTCAGTGGCTGAAAATACTCCAGGGCTTGCTGGAAACCCCATTTATTTAGGGGTTGGATGGAATCTCAACAAATTGTATTGTGATACACAGTCACAGAAACAGATAGTCCTTTCCTCCCTTTTTCCTTTCTCCTTTCTCCTTTCTCCTTTCTCCTTTCTCCTTTCTCCTTTTTCCTTTCTCCTTTCCTTTCCTTTCCTTTCCTTTCCTTTCCTTTCCTTTCCTTTCCTTTCCTTTCCTTTCCTTTCCTTTCCTTTCCTTTCCTTTCCTTTCCTT